TTACTATGTTCAACTATTCTCTACATAATGAACCGAATTACTAACTCAATAAGTCAAACATGAGTATCGTGCATAGAGAATATCATGTTTCACATAAACAAGTTTTGACTAATCTAATACTGCATTATTTTTATTATTCACCATTCATACCTATTCCAATATACAACATCATAACCGGCATAGTTGTCAAACTCACGCAAGCACACAGAACTATAACTATAATCTAATGCTTGAAGATAAAAACTGAAAATAAATGAATAAAAATTGCAACATCATAACCGGCTTCGTTGTCAAACTCACGCAAGCACACAGAACTATAACTATAATCTAATGCTTGAAGATAAAAACTGAAAATAAATGAATAAAAATTTCAAATTTTTTTTTTTTTTGAAAAATTTCATGATGATTATGCATTTCACAACAAACTTAGCAATGAACTCTCCCCCAACCAAATCGAACATTGTGCTCAATGTCTAAACATGCCTACCAAATGGAATGGTATCACCTGAATACTGAAGTAAATCAACTGAATATTGAAGTAAATCAACATAGAGTCGAAATGATGATTAACCCAAAAAGTGCTCAATTAAAAAAAAAATAAAACAAGAAATGAAAAGAAACCTAAAAAAACTAATATACAGAAAAGTAAAGTGAAGAACATACTTGAGTGATGTCAAGGATGGTATACAGGGTCTGCAAGAAGAACATCTTCCACTACATGCACCTACTGTCCATAAACTATCTTGAGACGCTGCCCATTCACTTTAAACACTCTACCATCGTTAGGATCCTCAATTTCAAATGCCCCATTTTCAAAAACTTGTTTCACCACGAAAGGGCCAATCCACCTAGATCGAATTTTTCCTGGTGCTTATGAAGTCTAGAATCATAGAAGTATACTTTCTGATTTAGTTTAAATGTTTCCCTATGAATGTGTTTATCATGAAATGCGTTCATTTTTGACTTGTAGATTTTAGAATTCTCATATGCATCATTTCGTAACTCTTCCAACTCAGTCAACTGAAATTTCCTAAGCTTACCCCCCTCTTCGAGGTCAAAGTTAAAGTGTTTGACAGCCCAATAGGCACGATGCTCAAGCTCTACAAGTAACTAGCAGGACTTTCCAAAAACAAGTCTATAATAGCCAAGTAGCGCGCTCAAGCTCAACTTATTAAAACTTAGAAACATTACAGTTCTTACAAAGTTCGGGGCGACGACCAAATAGCCCGCACAAGCTCTATTAGAGCTTAAAAGTATCACAACTTTTAAAAGAAAGCTCGAGTTGTCAAAAAATAATTGTAAAGTACATGCTCGAGCTCTACCCGTTAATACTTGAAAATATTATAGCTTCTACCAAAAGCTCGAGCTACTTGTCAAAACTAATTGTCAAGTTCCACGTTCATGCTCTATTTACTAAAACATGAAAATATAAAGCTTCGACATTAGAGGCTCGGGCTATTTTGTGGCTCCAGAAAGCTCGAAGTTTACTTATCTAGATTAAGAACTTGACTTTTACGCGTATTGAGCTTGATCCGTCTTTCCAAATTAAATACACAAGCATACGAATAACAAGTAATGACTGTAGTAAATGATAAGAAATCGAGCCATTAACCTAAAAATTTAAACGCGCAAAGGAAAAATAAGCCCAAGTCAGGCAATGTACTTTACATTTGCAAAAAATATATAAAATAAAGTTCGAGGTAGGGGGCTTAATCTAGATCTGTTGCATCAACAGGGTTTCCTTGATTAGGAGTCTCGACCTCATCCACTTCCGCATCTTCAGCCTCAGACGCTGCAAGCTCGTTCACGAGCTCGTTAATCGACTTCAACTCTTCAACAATGGGCCTTAGGTCCTCAGGCAGCTTGGTCCTCAAAAAGGAGCGAGCAAGTCACAGGCCATAATGGTATGACCCCTAACCATGCTGCCCAGTAGTGTCCTGAACTCCTCTGACTTTTTGAAGTTCTCCATCGCCTGAGCTTGAGCCATCACAAGCTCGTTCTCGAACCCTTTCCTGGCATGAATAAGTTCGAGCTTCGCCTCTTCGGCCTTATCTTTTGCAGCCCCAATTTCACCTCGGGCCTTGCTAGTCTCGATCCTAGCCAAGTCACGCTCAACCTCGAGCTTAAGAACTTACTTTCGGTGCTGGTTGTTTTCCATATTGAGTTCATCCAGCCTGCGCAAGGTGCTCTCCATTTTCAAGGCCAAGCCCCAAGCCATGCTCAAAGTTTGATATGGGAAAAACAAAAATAACGTAATATCAAGCATAAAAGATTAAAAAAACAAATACTAATAAAGATCGGGATCATACCTTCAGAGTCAGTAACTTAAGGGTTTTTACCCCTTATGAGGTTCGACCTTGTCAGCATACTTATTAACAATGCTAGGGATCAATGAGCATTGGGCATGTTCTTCCATCAAGTTTAGGGCGACGACATCGTCATCCAAGTTGACTATCTCCGACGTACACTTTGGAGTGGGAACTCGAACACTTGACCTAGGAACGAGCTATAGTGGAGGGATCGAGCTTTCTCATCTTGAACTCTGTCGAGCCCTGCTCTCAGCTTTCTTGGGAACGACCTCCCTAACTCTCTTCTTCCTCTTTGATGGGGTAGGCACCATAGGCTTCGGGCCTTTAGCCTTGTGGTGAATGTTTGCAAGGAGTTTGGATGGGTTGAAAGTCA